CGCCAAACTGCTGATCAGTCACTGGTAACCGAATGCACAAGTGCTTAGCCGCTAGTCAAATTGTCACGGGTTCGAATCAACTCAGATTCGCTGGATATACACTGCTCTGGATCTCTGGCTCCATTTCGCTGTGAAATCGTGAATGAAAGCTCATATTTGCGTTTCTGAGGTAACCATTATATGATAACCTTCTATCAGTGGCATGTCCACCTGTGTTACATAAATCAATGTTCGTATTCGGAATATGGGATCGTTAAAAAAAACAAGTCCATCAGCTGCCCAACTTGCTCTGTTGTTTTAATCAGCCCGAACGTTGACACCGTCACTTTAAACAGAGATAGAAGAACTTATCCATTAGATAGTAGTAACTTTCATCATATTCGCTTGTGTGGATAGAATGGATTAGAAACAGTTTCGCACAACATGGCTACCCACACAGTTCGCGCATATCTGCCACAAAAACCACAACCAACTGAAACGAGAGCGAGCATAATCTGACCGTGCAATTCTTTCACGAATTGTAAAACGTTCCGAACGACACCTAGAATTCCTATAGCGACCGTATTGAAGTGGTCTTTTTGGAGGAATTTGATTTCATAATGGAAGATCAGGCCTGTTCATTTCGGACACAATTTGAGCATTTGAATTTCCGCTACTGTACGACCCCTAGTCCATTTGTTGTGCTAGAGAACCATTAAAAGTTTATTGGAAACTGAGTGCAGTGAACACACAGACACACGAGCCTTTGTCTCGCAAATCATTTGCTGACCAGCCGACTCAGGAATCAAACTTGTGTGGCTTTAGTAAGCGAACAACCCCCCGCATCTAGCTACAAGTGTGCCTTTCTTGTTTTGTGCCAATCTCTTCCAGAGCGCTCTGGGCTGAGGTAGATAAACAGTGGGTTTCGGTAGGACACCAGCTGTTTGAAGCGTCATCCTGAGGACCGGTGATCTGGACACGGCTGGATCGCTGTGTCCTCGGGTGCCGAGCGTTAGGTCCCCTGAGCATGCCTCAGTGGAACTGGGAGGCGGACACCATCACGCCAATGCAGAAAGAATCGCTGTTACGGCTCTGTTTGCTATCTGTCCCGATTCCTGGCGCAGCACAGAGCTTTCAGGCCTAGCCAGACAGACACAGTGCCTCATCACTTTTCAAGGTCTGTAGCAACATCAAGCTGGACATAGCTCTCACCTAGTCAGGAAACAAGACGATATACGGGGCGGGACCGGACGAACTCGGATGAATGATTTCTTGTTACGACGGCTGGTTCGCCAAGCATTTGAATATCTGGATGGATGTTAGAGGATGATTTCATCAGTTGGCGTAAAACGACCGGGTCGATTACTGTATTGGGAACCGAGTCTGACTTCCAGAACAAATTAGGGTTCAGAATCCTGTCTTGAACGACAACGAAGTGTTTCTAGTGGATCGAAAGCGATCCAACGGTGTTTTATGTAGTGTGTCTGCAACCCATCGCTGAATATGAGCAAGACGTACGCCAAACCGCACTGGCTACGTATCTTGATAGATGTTTTCTTACACAGGGAAAGCTACACCCCTTATTTGAGAAAACGAATTCAAGCGATACTGTGCGACCGAGGAGGATAAACGCCTTGAATTTTGGGGCTTGGATGCATTACGATCGTTCTGCTCGACATTAAACCTGTCCTGTTGTCGATGAATGGGTCGGCAAGTTGTAGACACATGAGCACTTGTCGTTATTTACAACAATAAAGGGGTGAACTTGTGTATTATTAGTTGTCAGAACAAGATTGCACAAATACATGCAACAGTGAATGAGTAAGGTGTCTGCCCTGCATCCGCAGGGTATCAGCAGACCAGCCATCGTTTTCACATGAGGGAAGTCTGATGGCAAACGTTTTACACCTGCGACGTTGATCCACTCAGAGCACCATTTACCGGCTGTCAGTCTAAGCATTGATGTGGCCCGCCCCTTGTGTCCCCATCCAGAAAGACGGCAACGACCAGCACAACTGAGTTTGCAGATTCAGCTGATTCGAAATGGGAGCGTTTTGATCATGGCGTGTGGCACTGCCCACCGGATTCACTCGATTTATCGTCGTTTATTGTGAACCATTTGGTTCACACGCGTAATTGTGTAGTGCATGAATAAGGTAGTTTCACCATTCTGGCGGCCTATGGTAACTAACGTGGGCAAAAATGTAGGGTTTGTATTGAAATCTTTGTGCTATTGTGTCAGTGAACTCTCTCCCCCCCCCCAGACCAGAATGAAAACAGAGGCATTGACAAATCACTTGATGTTAATGGAAGCTTCAGATGAATCTCAGGTGAATATCCCGTTTGTTGTTTTCTTCACATGAATGTGACTCCCCTTGTTTCAGCTGGTACAACTTTCGAGAGGTGGCGGTGCGCTGCCAAAGGGTTTTCAGTAACCATATGAGTAGTATGTTCCATCGCTACAACTGTTGGTATGCTGTTGAGTCTCCCAACTGGTTCGGGGAGAAAAACAGCGACAAAGCATACACCTGGAAATATCCAAACGAGAGATTCAGCTGGGTTCCAGGTGAGTCTCCCGAAAAACCAAATTAGCTTGCAACTGAGTATGTATTCGCTAATTTTGTGCAATTTGGTTTCAAGTAGAACATAAGGTTGACGGAAACTCGGGGATTGCGCCTACCTGATGAACCCCAAGAAGGCCGAAACCGATCGTGTGCTGTCGACGGATTTTCAGCAACTCTATGAGTAGTGCACTACAAAAGAACACACCACTCCGAGTGGCCACTGCGGGTTTATTATGAACTCTAAGTGCGGCGACTCTAGGGTAAGTGCGCTCGATATTCCACAGCAAACAAATCACTGATCTGAAAGAAAGCTGAAGTGCAGAGACTGAATGTCACTGGCCAGTATCTTAGGGAAGTATGCTTACCTGAACACTAAGTTGGTTTGAACTAGAGGGCCAGCTGACAGGGACTGTGCCTGCCCGCCTCAAGAAGAGCGAAATCGGTCATGGGCTGTCTGCTGTTTTTCAGCAGGCTTTTGAGTAGTATGTTCCGTCAAGAAAAATTTCAATGTTTTCTGCAAAGTGGAGTAGTGAAGCTGAAATTCTGGAAGTAGCTGGAACTCAAAGGAGATTGGATAGACCGACTGAAGAGCTAGCTCGGAGGAATAAAGAACCTACGCGTGGGAATCGGTCTCAACACTTAACACCCTCCCCACTGTTTCCCCATTTGAACTTTTGTTTGGACGCGCCATTCTGAACCATTCTATTTAGGCCATGCACTTTGGTGTACGTGATTGATGAGGTGTACGAAGTGTGCAACCTGTTGAGGTCAAGATTCCGGACACTTTTCCGCATCTGATTAACAGTGCACGCAAAAAACGCATGTACAATATATTATTCACCTGCTGACCCTGCCTGAACAGGGACAGTGGATATCCATCGACCCATGGTTCACATATAAACGAACAAAGCAAGCACGCAACATGAGTTTCTGAAAGGTAGAAAGTCGACCTGATTAACGCGCGCAAATCCCAACATAACCCATTCAAACGAATAATGACCTGAGACAGGTGCATATCATAGGGGACTGCTCCCGCTTCGAAATGTGGCAGTCGAACTTAAAGGATCGTTTTACTATTTTTGTATCACATACTAAGTGCCTTACAGAAGGTTGTATAGTTTTACTTATCCAACGGGTTCAGTGAAACGACTGTTTTGTTTCAACTAAACTTTCGTTTAGTTAGTGGCATGCCTTGTCGGTCAGGAGTACGCAGACGATATCGCCTACATCTTTGAACACCAAAGTGAAACACAAACCTTATTGAATAGGCTGACCACCATCATACCATCTTTTGACATATGCCTCTCATCTTCAAAGTGCAAAGTCATGCTTCAGAAAGTGCAGTCTATGAACACATCCCTTGCAATTCAAGGAGAATCACTGGAGATTGTGGAAAATCTTACATACCTCGGTAGATGTATTGTACTTACAGTTGTAGCTCTAACGGAAATGTGCCTCATGACATCCCGGAATTCGGGTGATTCTCTGGAAAAGTAGTGTGTCCACTGAAGCTCCGCAGTTTTCTGAGCCACAGGCTTGCTGAACAACCATCCTGAGGGGCATCTGCTGAAAAGCAGAGGTCACGAATTTTACCAGGGACGGAGAAATATACAGGAATGTCTTCTGCAATAGTGTTTTGCGTACTGTAAGGGATTTCGGGCGAAATGGCCAGATCTGTGGGACCTTCACTACCTCGCCATAGTGCCACGTGGTCAGTTGGCATTTCCGAATAAAAACTCCGCATTCTGCATCGAGGGCCTTCTTCCTTTCATTGGTATGCCATCAGATCATGTGTGATTCCAGAGAGTTTCATCAAAGGGCCGTAACTGGTATATATGTGGTAATAAAGTAGTATATATATAGAGTAGTAGTACATATAGTGTTAAAGTACTGTAGTACAATAGCATCTAAGCTCTGCTTTCTATGCTCAGCTGTCTAGTCAGCTGTCAACGGCACGCTTGACACAGGTATGATGGAAGCTTATTCGCAATTTTTCACTCAGCTGGCAGTTTGCGCTAGAAATTTAGCGAAACTCGTTCAGGTTTCAACGGAATTTGAACAAGCTTGACTCTATTGTAAGTTAACGTCGTAAATCTTGCAGCTGATCGACGGAAGGTAGAGCTCTGTGGTTTCCGCATATCCGATCCTGTCTACTTGTCTGCCTGCCAGGGTGATTGGTCACCTGACGGATTCATTGACCAATCGACTGACTGGCTCACATAATGAATGAACGAACGAGGGAATAAGTAAACCAGTAAATGAATAAATGCCTGGGTAAGTGAACAAATGAGGAAAGAAAGGATAGAAGGAAGGGGAGAATAAAGTATAGAAGAAGAGAGTGATGAGACTCAAAGCTCCGAATTGCCACAAAGCCAACTAATCGATATTGTCAGTGCATTTGAAAATGGCACATGGTAGTCATTCCAGTGCACCACGAAGCGAGGAGTTTCATTTGTTCGGCGCCAAACCAGTGTTTATAACAGGCTGGTGGAAGGAATTGAAAACTCGCGAGCGATGTTTTCTACTCATGTTTGTGGTCTTCGATGCGGTGGGATTGTTGATTTTCTGCGGTTCAATCACGCACGATTTGTATTTCGAACATACTTTGCAGCTTGTCGGCATACGACCTGAGGGCTTTCCAGACCAGGCAATCAACTACAATTTGTCGGTGAGTTCCCTCGGTGGGAATGGGGTCATCCTGATCAGTCCTGCCAAAAGCATTCGACAACGACATCCCTAATACTGGTTCTGTGATAGTCAGTCATGAGGTCTGTAGTTACATTAAAGTACAACCCCTAGTTTTATGCCCGACTATCAGAACTCACAAGTGTTTCGCAAAAAATTTCCCGGTCGACACATCTGCCTCCTCATTTAGATTCACCCTCAGATGTTTTCCCGTAGTGTCCACTGTAACTGACACTCCAGTGGCCTCACACCATAAACGTTTAACAATTTAACACCATTACTTTGTGTATTAAAGATTAAGAGGACTTCTCCTTTGTGCTAAAGTGTATTTGCTGACAGTGAGGACCGTCGTATCACGGCAGCAACCAAGTGCTCCAGCAGGGCTTAATTTCACTGTTTGTGCATTAGCATCGGGCTACTCATGAGTAGTGAACAAGCAGACATGAAAGACGAGGTGAAGTCCCTCACGTCACTCCGGCAAGCTCTTGTGATATGGCGACGATTTGGACACTCAAAAACGACCAGCGACAGGGTCCACCCATATTTAAACACAGTTCTGTTCCAAAAGAATAAAAAAACTATTTTCGACGATATTAGCTTAGGAGATTCAGGGGATCTCGAATTATTACGCTTTCTGGTGCGTTCTCGACTATACGGAAACATTCTCCTCTGCAGTGTTGAGGGAACACTGGGTTCGAGAAATACACTCATTTGGAAATCAATTTAGTTTTAACGAGGGATTCAACTGAACCCCTCGTTTATGATATTCTACAACTGAATGTGCTGCACACAGGCCGCCCCATGATTCAGTTGGTACGATATCACAGTATCACAGTATATTTTCATGAAGGAAACTACTTACAAGGTTGCTGAAAACTCTTCTCAAAGCTGAACCCCTCTATAAACATCCATGTCGGGACCGATAGTAGATGGTAGCCCCAGATTAACCAGGATGTTCACGCTAAACTCCATACTGATGTATAAAAAAGTAAACACACGTAAAAAAAACGTTTATGCTTGCACTGTGCGCCAAGTGTCTTGGGTGGAATTCACTCCAGATATTCTTACAAACGAGGTTAATTCAAATTTGAGTTCAGGTAGAAAAAAGGAAAACTCGGGGACTGTGCCTACCTGATGAGCCCCAAGAAGGGCGAAACCGGTCGTGGGCTGTCGAAGAGTTTTCAGCAACCTTGTGAGTAGTTTGCTTCATGAAGACACTCTGGGTTATCTGGTTTCAGAACAAAAAGTTTTGCTTTTCATTTCACTTTAAGGGTTATTCTCATATATGTTTGAGAGACAAACACAGTTGAATCAGAAGGCCCCTGTCAAAAAAGTAGAAAGGTCGACAAAAAACAGAAACTCAGTAAACAGAAACGCCGGTCCAAAGGGCCATTCCTCTCCCTAGCCAAAGGGTCTCAAGGAAGGTCTGTGTACCTTACTGATGTCATGCTGTTGATGTTGATGATGGCGCTTATCACGCCTTCAGCAAGTGGTAAAAAGCACTCGGTTATCTTTTTCCCGTTTCATCTGGGTCAGACAATTTTAGCTGGTTTCATTGATCAGAGTGAATGACACCGGCGTTACGGAACTCTGCGCAACTATAGCCGTGATCTATTCCAGTGTGGAGGCGTTAAAAGGCTGGATAGTATGAGTTAGTCCATGTCCTCTGAGGTATTGAGAAAGTACAGTTCATGCAATCGTATCAAACTCGGGCAACGCTCTCAAATTATTGTTTTTGAAGGACGTAATATGGTTTATAGTGATATCGCCGTTTACAAACTCATCTTATGAGCACCTTTCATCATCAGGATTGAAGTTTTCGTTTCCCATGTTTCACTACCGAGAATGCCTTACAGACTCGGCAGGTTTTTGATCCGTTTATGCAGATCGGGTAACTTTCATGGACAGGGTGGGATACAGTGTTGAACGGCGTCTAACTACCTAGATGTACAGAGGATAGAAAAATGCACATCAGTGTGTGGCATCCGCAGCACGGCTTCATGAACACAGTCTGATCGGGTCGGCCACAAGACAGTCCTTTTAGGGGTAACAAGGGGATAGATCAGAGGCGGGGTTACAGCAAGGGAGATTATAAAGGCGACAATCTAGTTCGAGTAAACTGCCTGGTTAGGAAAACCAGCTCGAACGCCCGCCTGCGATAAGTTTTCGCATACTCTGTTCCAGCTACGGTGAAGCGCTGGAGCTGAGCCCGAGATGACTCAGTGGAAAAAGACGTGAACCTACTGAGTGGAAAGCCCGTGGTTTGAAACCGACCTTAGCATCTCGACTGGCAGAGCTTGGACAATTTCACAGTATCTCAGTCCCCTGCTTCCTTCGGCAGCCAGGCGCACAAACGTGTTTCAAGCTGATCGGTTGTCGGTAAATTAGGCGCTGTACACGCGTTGAAAAGTGATGGATCAGTTGAATAACGGGAGAGGGATAATCGTCAGGTCATCAGCAAAGCCGTCATCCGTTCACATCTCTCAGATCAAGTAGTTGACTTGAGATCCTCAACTGAATGAGATGTGCGGTCTTCCGGAGGAATATTCCCAGCTAATCTCCAAAACATTTCAATTACGACGCGTAAAGTGCGTCCATGGGTAGGCCTGTTCCTTTAGGAGGATGGTGACCGTGATTCTTTTGCACGAACAAAATGTCTGGCCGCACTGCTACGGAGTAAACACCTCAGCTCCTGTAATTTGAACTATACTCACAGTACACCGGTTTGTCTGGGCCAGCCACATGGAACATCTTGTAGGTTGAACAAAATGATCCTGCCATGATGATGTGTTTCAGTCCTCTTGTTGAAAAATGAAGCAACTGAATACTATTCTCATACGTTGTTGCACGCATTACTGTCTAAAAAATGTCACGCAGTTTTTGATAAAATATTTTCAAAAACACATCTTAATACACGCAGCCATTTAGTGCTCTTCTGTTCACCCATATTCATCTGCTCTTGGATCGTCCTCATTCGAAAGCAGCCAGCAGCAGAACATGAGTCATCCTTGAACCGAATAGGATGATTCACCGAAGTCATCTGAGAATCACTCATGAGCTCAAGGCTGTTCCGTTCTCGACCACATGAACATCGCTCACTCTACACTATGAGTTTTGGGTGGTCCAACCACGAAGCGTTTAGTTAAACGTAGAGCCATTATGACAAAATTTTTGGCTATAACTCAACACGGCGGTGCATATGTCGTGCTTTATTGAATGGCTTCAGCAGTAATATTCCAAAGTGCTATCGGTGAACGCTGCAAAGTAGTAAAAATATCGAGTTAATTTTTGGTGATTTCGAACCGTTCCTCGCTCTTCTTAGCGAAGAAAATGAGGATCACTACTTTGGCAAAAATTCCGTTGATTACAAAGCCAAACACTAGTTTTCAGAACTGCTTTGCAGCGTCAACAGAACAAATTGAGTGAGACTTCAGAGGGCTCCTTTTTTAAACGCCATTCTGGTGAAATATGAAAAGACAGTTATCTTATGAGTTGATCCATCCATATTCAAACTTTGAGGACAGGTGACAGGTGTAGGGACGGCTTCAGAGGTTCCTGTGGGGTGAACTTCACGCAAAGCATTGAAGTGACACCCTCACCACTGCGTCTGGGAAAAAAGTAGGGTGTCAAGGAGTACCTAGAACGGCTTGATCTCAAGTGTATTTTAAGTAAGCATGGTGAAACAACTACAAAAAGAGGGTTTTACAAGGCGACACAAACGTGGTTTTCCGGCCTAAAAACCATTGCCATTCGACAATGGATATCTATTTGGACGTCAATAACTGCGCAGATGACGTTAGGCACCATCCGTCTCACGAAATTGGCAGTGGTTAATGTCAGTGTATGCACAAACGTGCAACAAGGTGCGATCGGGATAATTTTGTTTAATGGGCGCCGAAGAATAGATACATGTTTTTTAGTCATAAACCTGGATGTAACCTTGTTAGAGGTAGCTTCTTCCTTGAGATTATTTTTGCAGTAGCTAACGAATCAATATTTTGAAAAGGGCCTCTTTCTTCATCTTAATAAACGAGGATCAGAACGACACTGTCTACTTCATTCAACAATCGATCTTTTAGACGTTCTAAATGGTGATATTGCCCAGTTGTATTTCTTGTGGATTAATGGTGGTATTTGAATCCATATATGCTGCAAAAGTATGGCTAAAATTATGAGCTATCCGAGAAACAGACAGAGAGCTTCCAAGAGGATCCCAGTCTTCGTCGAGGGAGTGTTCTTCTAGGGGAGAGCCACATTTAAATATTTCGTTTATCGACACATTTTTCCACAATGCTTCTATTCAGATTCCCAAATAATGGTGGAATGCGTCAAAATTAGGCGTGGTGTCGCTGAAAATGCCAGATTTCCCCAAGCAAGGATAATAGTCGATATTAAGCGGCTGCGGTCTGTTGGATGGATATTCTTCAGAACTACGTAAATTTGGGCTTTTGAAGAGAAGCTCTATTCAATCTGGGAACTCATTTCGACTGGTCTAGTGCTTTTTAGATACAGAAGTCCCCGTTGCAGATGCCTGTATTACATTTATGTTGACTTTATAAAAGCTCGGGACGCTTGAGGCTTCTGGAAGGTTAGCGTCTCGAACCTGACCTCAGCATCCTGACTGCTCCTGTCTAGGCTTGGGCAACATGGCAGTGTCCTTCGGGTGGCCAGGCACTTAAAAAGTATTATAGCTGAACGCGAATGCTCGTTCTGCGGTTCATTGTGGTGTGCCGTGAATAACCATCTTTCCAGAGCACTTAAATGTATTTAGGTCCCTCGTTTCAACTAACTGTTTCGAGTCAACGGAAGAACTCAGGTACGAAACACCGTAGGGGTAAAGTTCCGCAGTTATGCTACTAGAAAATAAATGGAATCAATCGATAAAACGACATGGTGAGTAGTCTTTCACTATTGCGGACTGTGAGGAATAATACTCAGAAACGGATTCGCTGACACCAGTCCACACGAGTCATGATTCCGAGACAACAATTGCCGAACACCTGAAGACGTCTCAGGTCCGCTGCTCGAATAGGCCAAGTCTCACAGTCATACAACAAAACAGCCCGTACTGTAGCTTGATACACACGTCCCTTCAGATTCAGGGATAAACCATTCTGACGCCATAGGTGTCTCAAGTTAGCAAACGCGACCCGAGCCTTGCAGATTCGCGCATTCACCTCATCTGTCACACTACAATCAGAACTAATACAACTTCCAAGACACGTAAAACGCTCCACAACTTCCAGTACCTCTCCCTGGATTGTAAGTGGCGTGTTCAGTGACTGCACGTCCACAAGCATGACCTTACACTTTGTGGGTGCAAAGTGCATACCAAAGGACGGGATGACTTTGGTCAGTTCATCCAAGAATACTTGCGCCTTCTCCGCCTCTCCGAACATGAGAACGATGTCGTCTGCATATTCCAGATCGACAAGGTTTTCTTCACAGGTTATTTGAACACCAGGGTTTTGGAGACCCTCCAGCGTTCGTCTCATTATTTCATCGATCACAAAGTTAAAAAGGAATGGAGAGAGTGGGCATCCCTGACGGAAACCGCCTTGTGTACGGAAGCTTTTGGAGAGCTCTCCGTACATGTACTTCAAACAATAGTTGGACTTTCATGATTCAATTGCAGGACCATTTCTTGGTACATGGACGAGGAAATAGTTCCCCAAATATATGAAATCATGTAACATAATGTAGATTGAATTTGCTTCTAATTTTGGCATGCTTAAGGATCGAACTTTCTAAACATGCACTAGTATAAGTCGAGACTATCCATTCACCTGGAGCTTGAAATCCAATCTTGTAAACCACCGGTTTTATAATCCACTTTGCTAACTGGTGCCAGGTGAGAATCAATAAAGAAAGCGTTGGTTGCAAAGATACTTTTTCGAAAATAAAGTATCCTTTTTTCAAAATGAATCTCTCCCGTTGGAGGCGCCAAGCTCACAAAACTCTTCTCCGTTCGTCTTCTGTCAACAGCTTACCGCTGGAGTCGGATTCTGGTCAAGCATAGACCGTCAGTCGACGAGCTATCGACACCAAGAGTTGAGTCCAGGAATTCTCACTATCCTCCAACAGCACATGACGGCTGCGTCGGATTTGTGGATGGAATGTGCGACGCGACAGCACCGATCTAGCGCTTGTGGCCAATCCTCTTTTATGTTGTTCACTTTGAGCCTGACTGGACTGTATTCCGCCTATTTTACAGCTTTATTCAACCGTCGAGTGATGATATACATGAGCATAGGAAGCGTCTTTGTTATGGCATCCTCGTTCGCATTGCTTTATGCTGCTTCGCTGGAGTACAACAACTGTGTTGTGGACCGCCAAGTAAGCTACACAAGCGAGACCGAGTTCGAATTCGTCTCGTACAGAGGACGCTATTTCGCTCCAACAATGAAGACCAATTATGTGCCGTTGATAGGCGTTTTGGTCGCCTACCTACTGGGTTTCATCCCGATGACTGCGTTTGGTGCTATCCTGATGTGTTATGGTACAGAAAAACTGTAAATAACTGGAAGCGTTATTGTATGATTTGCCATAGAGAAACGTTGTCGTTCCATCAAACACCTAGTATTTTTCGGACCCTCAGGACGAATGATGTTGGGCTAAGTGAAAGGATTTCGAACTCATGATAAATCCGTTACGTGTGCCTTCAGTTCTAGAGAGGGATTTTCAAAGTAACTACCACGGATCAATCGTTACAACGTGTAAAAAAATTGCTCAGCTTTAACACCCTTCCGAGGCCTAGCTGCCATGCTACCCGAAGGAAGCATGAGAGGTGGGATACTTCCAGGTTGCCCAAGCCTAGAAAGGGGAAGTCGAGAGGCCGAGGTCGGGTTCGAACCACGGACATTCCATCTAGTCCCCCCACAATTGAAAAGAAGAGAATCAAATCCAGCCACCTGAAGATCAAACTATCTTGTTGTTTTGGATCTGAGATTCTCATCATTATTCTCGATTTCGTTACCGCTTAGCGGATTATAACAGGACAGACTGAGAAAGCTACAGTCGAAATCATATCGTGAGTCAAGGTTGCCACAGAGTTTGGAGTGACGAGTGCAGTTAGACTGAGTGTCTGCGATTGGTCAGTGCTCATCTGACCAATCAGGCGGCGCCTGCGATAGCGCCCTCGAATTCCAGCGAATAACAAGCGGGGAATGAGTAAAATCGGTTCAAAGTAGACACGGTTTGCGGCTAGACTTTCTCCGCAGATCGCAATTGGCTAGAAGACTAAAAAACTGTGAGCTTGGATCCAAACTCTGACCGAGCATCTGGATTAGAGGTGCCGCTCTAGAACCAGAAGCGTTGGGCAGCAATGGAAACGCGCACCAGAGATAACCAGTTAGGCTCACACTTCGCTGGACAGAAGTCGAAGGACAGGACAAACACTGTTCATATTCTTCAATCTCTGAACAAATTTGGTGTTTATTGGCTAGTAGTGTTGTGTTCTCATTTTGAGAAGTTTGTATCTTGCCCATTAGTCTACTGACAACGTCCGCGAGGTCTGTAAATGGAGGTCCCTATTGAAGTGACAGAAGTCGCATGGGGGGTAGACAGGAGTGTTGTGTGGGCAAATGGTTGCCAAACGAAATTTCAGTGTGAATAAGAGACCGGGAAATTCCCTCTTCCAAAATTGGGTCTGTTCCCAATCGATAATAGAAACAAACCGCATCAAACGTACTAGGAACGGTCTGGTCATGATGAATTGGGAGATTCAGGCCACATTTAGTGCATCACCGACGAAAAATGTCTTGCTGACCCACAATCCAACTACGAATAAAGTGAGGGTTTTTCACTTATTTTTCGCAATGCAAAGTAAATATGTTGACAGAACCCTGCAGCATCTGAGTAGGGAGAACCATCCTCAATGAGTTGATCACACTGTTGATCACTTGATCGTGACCGAAAGATCTAGTATCCAGCTGCTATCCGGAAGGTCCGTGGTTCGAACCCGACCTCTGCCTCCCGAATTCCCCTGTCTAGGCTTGGGCAACCTGGTAGTATCCCAGCCCTCGTGCTTCCTGCCGGTTGCATGGCAGCTAGACACAAAAGGGTGCTACAGCTGAACGATTTTGTTTTATTTTTTAACCAGGAGATTGAAAAATCGAACCTCTTTGGGGGTTCGCGAGTTGTGCACTGCCGAAGACTCACACAAGCTATGAAACAACTGCAGAGTGTTCCCGATTCTTCTGAACTCTACTAAATGAAACGCCGATCGATAAATCCTCAACCTTCCTCCTAATATGGACAAACATTACGACCGACTGATGATTTCACTCCGAGCTTCAAGTAACTTTTTTCACCAGATGAAACGAGATGTATCGAGTTATCTCCATCCGTAAAAATCTAGGACAGACATTCGTCAGTTGATGAAATCCCACCAACCTGTGCTATAACGACAGAGTTTACCGAGGACAACCGCCTGTATGGAATTGTCTTTTCCTAACCACAAACGGATTGTGCATCTTAGCGAAACAAAACAGAGTAATCGAAAGATTTCCGATGCATGACTGATGATCACCACCAGGTACAACTTAGTTTTCCAAATAAAGAACTGACATGCGGCTTCGGGGTGAAACGTAGTCACGGTGTGATTGTCGGGTCAGATGACGACTGCATCTGTCCAAGCGTCTCTGAATACAGAGTCTGGGGTTGTCAACACACACAGCGATCCATTTGGATGGCTATTTCGTTGTACGATCGATGTATCTGTGGCGTGGGTGAATTGATAGGGGTAGTCTGGCGAAGAGGCACGTTCTTTGATGCATAAGTGGTCATGGGGTCTCATAACTTGGTCGTATCGGAGGACCTTTCAAAAGTTTCAGTATGTCTTCTGACAAGAACTTCACTGAATGAATTCTATCTGAAGTGGAAGTTCAGGTGTGAGGGCTTTCGAAGTATACTTAAGATGGGCTACTTGACCACTCTGTGTTGCGGGTACTTTTTCAAATGCGTCCAAACACATTCACAAGAAAATCTGTTTCCTCATCAAAGGTCCTTCTTGTACAAGCTTCCCTAGCCCCGCCATGAAGGCGATTTGCCAAGTTTGATCTGACTGCATGGGATGAAGCTGATAACGAGTGTGCCCGACGCACATTCTGTCGAAGATTGTTAGTGAAGCAAGTGAAATAAACGCAGTGCCAAAAGCGGTGGTAAGCGCCACAAAATAGCCAATGCCACATTTGCAGTGGAAACGGAATTTCGCTATCCCACTAGGCAACGTGGTGTTCTCAAGTTTGAGTCTGATCGTACGAATCAGTAGTGGATTCTTCAGTGAAAATCCCATGATTACCCCATCCGCCCGTTACCGGACGGGAACTGAACGATCATCATACTTGTCAAGATTTCGAATCGAGCGGATTCATTCGAGTACTTCGGTTAGTGCTCCGCGTCGTTCTTCTAATGCTGACAGATAAAGATGCCATCCGAATGTGCTTCGTAGAGCAGCCCCCGTTCCTGAATTTACTGCTTACAACACGTAAAGGAAATTCGCCTGAGTGTCACTTGAATATAAAGGCATCTTGCAGGGGAGGTATTTAGTCGAGCATACTGTAAAGTGCTTTGCAACAATTCCAGCCAGAATGTGTCGAGAATGGGGGCTCATTCGAGGCTGCTAAGGAAAGCGCAGAGAAAGGCTGCAGACCGCACTGAAATGAACCTGTGATAAAACTGCAGACAGGGATACTGCAGGTCACCTGCCCAGATCCGTCAGCCAACTGTTGCACGAAACGGGTTATCGGTCAATTACTTCAGATCCACCGTTTTGCCAAACACGAAGCTCGAATTTGACGGAGTCAATACTTTAACCCAGGACACACAGTCTGAGAACCTCGGTCACAACACGGGTTGTGGTTGGAAAACAAGATGACACAAAGCACGACAATTATCGATCCTCAAATGAGCGGTACTCTTCGCCTTCATATTGCAACACATCTTCGCTATAACTTAGAATAATTCCCCGAAGGTCATCAGGGGGAAAAGGGGTTTGAGCACCCAACGTCAGGTACACCACCTCGCAAAAATTCAATTCCTAGACCGAATATCAAGTAGGCGTTGATTAGGTTTATCTCCTGGTACAAATATGACAGAACTCACGCGGATTTAATCTAACTTTGGACAAACGTTTCGGTAAATGCTTCTTCTTGGGTAACTCAGCGGTCCGAAGAGGGTCTCCAAGTCTTGACAGATATTTTATCCTGTAAATGAAGCCAATCTATGTTGAAAAAGAAACGAGCAGTGGGAATAATGAACAGTGCTCATTTGACGAAATTCAACGGAGTGTAGAACCCACGAACTCCCGGTTGTTGGTCAGTTCGCTCACGAGCGGCTGAGTAGTAACGAGACAGAACATTCAAACTTCAATCACGGGATCCACATCACGTGACACCTGGCTTCTCGCGAAATCAAGCTCCCTCCGAACTACTTATAAATGCGCGCTGTTGCTGATTCCTAGAAGGATAAAAAACAGCTGCACAGTGGTGCTTGGCTCTTCAGCACAGACTGAATTCAACTATAGGACAAACTATCCACTAAATATATGTAAGGTATACGTAATGTATATCTCAACAACTACTCACAAGAACTGAATCTCCCGTTGTCCAAGCGTTTTCAGCAACCTTATGAGTAGTATGTCGCGTCTAAACAATATCGCAGCATTGCATAAACTCTTCAACAACCCAGGACCGGTTTCGTCCCTCCTGGGGCTCATTAGGTGTAAGGAGTCCCCGAGTTTCGCTCAAGCTACTTGAGCTCGAAATGCACAAAATCCGACTCATCTCAGCATCTTTTGGACAGAGTCCTCAAGAGCGGAATGAAGATTACTCTACCGAGAAACGATTTGACTATGCGCAATGGTTTCGATGTGCAAGGTGTTCTGAGAACACGTATAACTACTGGTAAAGGCACCTCCGGCCAGCGGTGGACACAGAAATCTCGTTAATGGAATCCGGGAACATCATTTTATATTGAAAACAGAGATACAACTATCTGACACGTTTTCCACACGGAAATATCAGTTGTCCGTCATTTATCTGAAATACGTGACTCTCCAAAAACGAATTCATGCAGACCGGGAGTCAGACAAATCGAATATCATAGAGTAGCTCATGATCATCATCGACAACATGACATGACTAGCTAAGATCGTGTGAAATTGACCGGATTTCCTAAAAAGTTGTTCTGTCATGAGAACCTCCAGTCACCTTATTCAATCCAATGCCCAATGAACTTCGATATCGATTAGTGAAGTGATTCCTTCTGGAAGAATCTGTTCAAGTAGAACGCAACTGAACCCTAAGCTAATCCGAGTCGAAGCCCGAAAGTGACGAATACAAGCGCAACTGTTATCCTAGGGGGCCCCGGGTAACTCAGTTCTATTGCGCTGACAAGATGATCGACAGGAACCTACCTCCAACAACCATCGGAGGACGGACGCGTTTTCGTTGTATCAGAAAGCTATCCGAGCAGTGGTCCTGATGATTTAAAAATATATGTGGATTAGTATAATGGTATTATAACCACAACAGATTGCGACCATTGTGGGTCAGCATTCCTGAAAAACTGTTCCATTGTAGGGTCTGCAGCACCATTTCACGATCTAACTTGAGACCCTCTCTGAGAGTTACTACACAATAGTATTTCAATGCCCATTTCCCTAGAATGGCACTTTTATGAGGAGGGGCTTCATACGCCGATCGGGATGGGATGGAGAACGAATCAGGAAAGTTCCTTGTCGGGAGCTTGAGCCGTTAGGTAATTCGCAGATAGTTCAGTGGCTACAGTCATGAGAAGCTGCCACCTCCCCGGAAAGCTTTGCCTCCTTAAGTCTACACATCTGAGCATAACCAGGTTCCACACACTCAGAACATGCGTTCGTAACGAAGTCTTTCGTCGGGTGACAAAATCGAATCATCAAGGTCCGGTAAATTCCCTGCGAAGAAAAATGAAGGATGAACGACTTTCAGATTGACGGAGTACCAATAGGGGCAATCAAGAAGACCTCTTGGAGAGTGACTTCAACAACCTGTGTCTGGACAAGTAGAAGAAAGAGGAACGGGAGACGACGCCGCCCAAGTCAATCAAAAACAGAGTAGTCTAGGCAATCGTTCTATATGCACAAAATATGTACACAGAGCCTATGCTGAAATAAACTGTTATCACTGGGGTTGAGTTGTTTTGGTCACAATAGCTTCGGGTAACTTCTCAAGACGATGCTGCAAAGAG